TTAATTATATTATATTATATTAATCATTTTGATTAAAAGTTTCTTGAAATACAGGAAACGTTTGAAATAGTTTTAATTCAGTTCAGTTTATTCATATATCCCCAATTCACAACACACGTCATCTGAAGGTGCGTTAAAAGACAATTCAATCATATCATCGATACAGAAACGTTTTCTGTCTGAGGAAAACCAGCTGATGGCATCGACTCATTTACTCTATTTACACTACTCCTCTGAAAACCGATCCCTGCCGAGTTCGGAACGAGCTTGGATCAGTTAACTGTGCCGAGCTTGGTTTCTGTGCCAAATTATTTAAAAAGGGTAGAGTATGGGGCTATTGACACTCAGCAATCCTTCACACCAAGCATGCTTGTAGTGACAGTGGTGAGGAAAAACTCCCTTTGAACAGGAAGAAACCTCCAGCAGAACCAGAACCAGGCTCAGTGTGAGCTGCTATCAGCTGAGGCCGACTGGGGTTCAAGGAGACAGAAGCAGACATAGAAAAGTAAAATAGAAGCCCTGATCCATAGGAACCTTTTCTGATAGAAAAGGTGATGGTAAATTAGCACTATAAGTGGATCTTTCCAGGAAAGAAATGGTAAAGCAGATGAGCTCTGAGCCAGTTTTCATGAGAAAGAGAGTAGAAAGTCACAATAAAAGCTGATCCCATTGCTACGTTTAGGAGAGAAACAGGACCAAGCACTGAAATACAGGCCCAACTCTATTATATCGAATCATAGCTGTTTGGGGTAACAGCCAAGCTATTATTTCCCCCCAGGAAAAATGAAACTAGAATGAAAAGAAAATAAAAATAATTAGAATTTAGCAATACATGTTGCTGCACATTAAGAAAGGGAAATGCTCTGAAAGATATACAAAATTAAATTTCTTTTATTGTCCTTTTGTATAGACAGAGCGTATCTTAGACTTTTGTTTTTTTGGGAGTCCTAAACTCGCTCGCCTCCATTGCTTCAGCTTGTTGACCAATAGCGTGCATGCATGGTGAAGTAATCCCAGTCAGATTATGTTATTATGGTACATTTTAAAACAGAGAGTAGAAAAAAAGTGTAAAAGGCAAAAAATAACAAATATTAAACTAACAAGACACAGTAATTTGTCATTAAAACGTTTTATGTAACTAGTGTACATGAATTTTAAAAAGGTCAAACAACTTTACTATGTACATTAAATAGTAGTAAATAAAACTCTGTATAGCTAATTAACAAAAAAGAATCATCTTAAGAATTAACCAAATGTTTTCATTAAAATCTTGTTTTTTGTTTTTTAATTCTTATCTTTAAAAAAAAATTCTGATTATTGCAGAAATTGTTGCTCAGACTGTGTTTCAGTTATTTAATTAATTAGTATACTGATTATGTATGTACATTAATAAAACATAGCTTATCAGTGCTAAACAACTTAACAATAATACTAGACAAGATTACTGAAAAACATTAGAGCAACTGTCAGTCATTATCAAACTATTGCAAAACAGAAATGCATCACTTAATGGTTTTGTTCTCCACACTCATTACCTCCAGAGACATGGGGAATATTTTATGACTCAGTGTCAGGATGTGTTTCCTGATGATGCAAGATTTCTTTCCCTGCTTGGTGACTACTTGTCCTGACTCAGAATCAGTGCTACACTAAAAATCCTCAGAGGTAGAGACTGCAGCAGCTGTCCAGGTGGCTATCCCAGATTCATCCGGGTGAGACCTGTTGGATGACTTATACCGGGAATACACCTCACAGTCCTGCAGTCGACATCTTTTCCAAGGTGCTCTTCGTTATTTGAGCGTTTAGCTCTGATAACTAATCTGAGCAAATTTATAGGTTTAAAAGCTGTGATCACTGGATGATGTTAATATTGTTAATGATAATAATAGGATTATAAAATCTTTATATTTCATTATAACTTAGGCTGCATTGAAATGTGTCATCTATATCTAACCTATCCCTTAGGGTGCTCTGTTGCCCCCGGTAACCATTCTAAGGTGAAGGGTAGCTATAGGCTGCATTATGTGGTCTACTTTCAAAGGCCTGCATGAGTCACGCCTTTATAAACTCATAGTTTGACTCAGGGCGTAAAGCCCTGTGTTTATGAATTTTGCTGCGCTGTTCTTGGCTTTGGAAAAAACCTTTTGGGCAATAGCTGTTATTTACAGAAGTCAATCACCTCAGTAAAAATAACCGGACATAACTGCTTGTAAGGTATTGCTTCTCACACTGTTTTCTAGAAGTACCCCCTGTTTGTTTTTTTCTTTGTTCCACAAAGATGCCTCCCTTCATCTGCTGAGCCGTTCTCCGGATGTTCTTCCTTTAAATATTTAGTTTAGCAATAAACCGTTGGTTTTCCTCTGGTATACAACCAGAGGAATGTGGTTGTAGTTAAGGAGATGAAGTGTGACTGTGTTACACAGCGTAGACGCAGCTTCTGAAAAAAATAACACAAAGACATTGTTCCAACAAATGCTAATCTTTTAATACTTTTTAATAAAATACACCTTCTTAAGATTTTTCCAGTCAGGGCTTTGGTCTCACCAAAGCATTGAGACTGAATGTTTGAAGTTTTAAATTAAGTTGTAGTTAGATGTTTAGATTCCTTAGGGTCAGACATGCAGAAATGGTTTAGGGTTTAGGGTCAGACATGCAGAGGAAGCAAACACCAAAAGATCCTCAGTGCAGAGGAATGAACTGTTTAACAGCAAGAATATAGAACAGAGAAATAAATTAATTTGGCCACAACAGCCATAGATAAAGATATTTAGGAATTGGTGAAGACTGGATGATTTAGCATATTTAACCAATCTTGATCGTAATCTTTCAAATAAAGAAATCAATTTGCAGTAAAAGGTTTAAATGATTTAAATGATGTCATTTGATGCTGACCCAGTGAAAAGCACAGATCACTTATAAAGTATTTTGTTTACTCAGGATGTCTGATTTTGCATTACAGTATCTTTGTAACACCATCTTACACATTTGATCTGACTGCTAATGTGACTTGTTAGCAGTGACGTGCACAGACATCTTTGGGGGCAGGTGCCCAGGTTGGAAAAAGGGCACCTTATTCATCGCTGTCAACAGCCAAACACCGTCTGATGCTGACAATCTCCCTCAGTCCATAGGTAGCAGTGCCACATTGGTGCCACTTAAGAATTCGAATCCACTATAATAAAGCCCAAGAATCCAGAATATCTTTAAGTTTATTGGGTTTATATGACAATTTGCAGATGAACTAAAATTTCCATTTGAAATATAGGTAATGCATAATAGGTAATAATCTGATTTTAATGTTACAAACTCTCAGTCCACTGACATATCATCTTATTTTCCTACTCAGATTAGGGCAAAATAATTCTTTTAAAAAAGTTTTACATATTTTTAGGTCAGTATTTGCAGTCCAGGATGTCCGTCAGTAAACACAGAAACTGAAAATGCAGCTTCATCTAGATGTCACACTTAAACTTAAAAGAACCGTATTAAAGTTATTTTTTATGAACTGTGATGATTTAGCCTTATGTTTGCTTTCAAATAAAATGTTTAACAGAGAAAGTAATCTGTTTGCTTTAGTTGTCATAAAAAAGTCCAATAGATGTCATCAGGGAGTCCCAGACAGGAACCATCACAGCAAATCAATAATTATATCCATGAGATACTTTAAATGACCCTTTGTTCTAATTTGAGTAAAGAGTTGCAAAGGGAAATCCAGGTCGAAATCAGAAGGCAGATAAGGAGGAAGATCCAGGCTCAGTCCACAGGCAGAATCCAGCAGGAGTCCGAAAACGGGTCAGGCAAACAGATCAGAACAGGAACAGGCTCAAAGGTCTGACGTCAAAACAGGTCAGGATCAAGCAATCAGAACACAGACAGACACGCTAGAGAACTCTCACCAAAGGCTCGAATAATCTGACACTGATGACTGGGAGCAGGCAAATAATGTGTAAATAATTTTCTTTACTATACACACACACACATATATATATAAAATCGGTATAGAATTATTAGACAGCATGAGATTAATTTCCACTGTTATGCTGATGATACTCAGCTATATCTATAAATCAGATGACACTAATCCATTAAATAGACTGCAGGCATGTCAGACATGAAAACCTGGATGACTCTTAACTTTCTGCGCCTGAATGCAGACAAGGGGGACCAATGAGTGGTGCGGTTGTCTTGCAGTAAGAAGGTTCTGGGTTCGATTCCAGGGGTCTTTCTGCATTGAGTTTGCATGTGTTGGTTTTCTCTGACTTCCTGCTGCAGCCCAAAAACATGATTTTTAGGTTAATTGGCTTAATTGGCTCTCTAAATTGTCCTTAGGATTCTGTGCATGGTTGTATATCTCTGTGTTGTCCTGTGCCAGACTGGCGACGTACTGGGATGTACCCTTCCTCTCTCCCATAGACGACCCCACTGTAGATGGATGAATACCAAACAGATGAAGATCTGTTTAGAATTTGATTTATTTGTATTTTTTAAAAAAGCTAAAGCTACAAAACTCTTTTGTCTCATCGCAGAGCTTTTTATTACAACTGCTAAACTCTAAGTCATTCACTCAAACTAATTGTTGGTGTTTCTCCTCTTCAGACAGATGAAGATGATCACGTTGAATTTTGAATCAAATATCTGCAGGATTTTGTTCCTTATTTTCTGTAAATCCACAGTAAACATATCTTTCCCACTGTAAGTGGCCCACATGTGGTTGAAGTCAGCCCTGCAGTTCCAGTGGACTCTAGTCTATAGGGTCAGGTAGACAAAAGTCAGAAAGTTTGATAAGATATTTTAAACTTAAATCGTTTTTGGTCTGATACCACCTATAAATAAAAGGTCTTCTTTTCCATTCCAAAACCCATTAAGGAGACATGCTGTTCTTGTTGAGACAGGAGTTTCACATATAATAAGCAGGTGGTTTTGGCTGCTGTGCATCCAGCTCTGTGTTTAAGCTGCACTGAAATGAAGGAAGCGCTCACTGTCGCTTCTACCTGCTCAACATGAGCCTGCTCTGTGTGATGCTTCTGACTCTCATGAGGCTCAACCGCACTGCTGTGGTAGCCTCACCCGTCCGCATCGCTGACCAACCTCCACAATCACTATCTGAGGCTGACCAGAAGATTGCAGAGGTAACTTAACTCTTTTCCATTGATCAATATAGGTTGCATATGACAGCCTGTTGATGCTAAAGGTTTTCTGAAGTTTTCATTGCCTTGTATTTGCTGTTTCAGATAGAAATGCTGTTCTGTAAAAAATCCTTAGAGTTGCATTTTTGATTTGACCCACTGCCAAATGTTTATTCTCAGAAAACATGCTACTTTTTGCATGAGTCCAGAATTCAACATAATATAGCAATAGATCCTTATATAATAGAATATTTTAAATCTAACTAGATATCTTTACCATTTTTCTTTTAGAGAACAGTGTTTTCTCACACCTTAATGAGAAATATGACTGTAATTGCATTTAGAAAAGGCTACATTTAATTTACCAACATTTCAAATATGCTGTCTTCTGCGACTTTAGATTTTTGAGCTGTGAAAAAAAAAAAAACAAACAAAAAAAAACATTTAATTAGTTGGAAAGATAATTATATAACTAATATCTCTACAATCTGTTTGTGAAGTGTCACCTGAGGCAAACTGTGGTTCAGTGATATTGGCTGAGAGGATTTTCCCTCTTATTTGCTGCCAACTGGCTCCATGTTAAAATCTTTCCCTGATGTATTCTTAGGAAGGCAGCAGCAGTTGTAGACAGTAATTATCTTTATGGTAAGCATTGTCTTATGATGACAGCAGTCAAAATATATAGGCAGCCCCTCAATGAGGAGCATTTTTTTTTAATATTAATCTTCAAAGGTAAACTTTTTAACACTATTGCATATTGTATTTTAGAATGAAAACACAAAGAATGCATCAAAGACAGTATAATAAGAGAATCAGGATCAGAATCAAGTTTATTGCCAAGTAGGTTTGCAATTACAAGGAATTTCACTTGGTGTTGATGGTGCAGACAAAATTGGATGGAAAGAAACTGTTCTTGTGGAGTGAGGTTTTATTCCTTATGGACCGCAGCCTCCTACCAGAGGGAAGGGACTGAAATACTTTGTGGCTGGAGTGCAAGGGATCAGCCACAATAATCCCTGCACGCCTCAGAGTCCAGGAGGCATACAGATCCTAAAGAGATGGAAGATTGCAGCCAATCACCTTCTCTGCTGACCGGATGACATGCTGCAGTCTGCCCTTGTCCTTGGTGGTGGCACCAGCATACTAGATGGTGATGGAAGAGGTGAGAAAGGACTCAATGATGGAGGAGTAGAAGTGCACCATCCTTCTCCCTGGCAGGTTGAATTTTTTTAGGTGCTGCTTAAGCCGGGCGTACACTGTGCAATTTTTTTCAATTGTTGCACGCAGCTACTTCTCACACTGTAAGACTAACCACAGGGTTTAGTCGTACAGTGTGAGCAGCAGCTCACGATTTATGTTCGGCCCGACGCTGTGATGCGATCTACCTGCTCACACTGCACAACTAAAAACCACGTCGGACTCGGCTCCGCAGTGAGATGGAGCTGCTCTGACTCATCTATCCGGAAGCCAAGCAAATAGAAAGGGAATATTAAGCCAAGTATAATGAAATGCGCTCCTTGGCAATTTGTGCAATTTTGTGCTGAAAGCCCTGAAAAGAAAATGCAACAACATATTTGGAAAAAAGACATGGCTGAGCTAACGTGGCTATTACGGTCTGCCAAACATGTTTTATCGTCTCCCGACCTTACCTTTCCTGATCAGGAGGTGGTCTTGGGAGGCTGATCAACCCTCGTAACCCCCTGTAAAATACATGACTCACGACGCACGATCAGGCTGAAAGTCGGACCGATCGTAAGATTCTCGCACAACTGGAAAATCGGCCCGAAAATTGCACAATGTACGCCCTGGTTTAGCCAGCAAATTTGTATTTGAGTTTCTATATATTCTCGGATTCTCATGTTTAGATGGCTTTCCTTGGACTTGCTATTTAGCAGTTAGTCATTTTGCCTCAGATTCATGCAGTCATTTACTCGGTACGAAAATGACTGCAGCGGGAAGATGACCAGATTCTGGTAAGAAGGAATTCTTCCTCCAACATTCATCTGTTGTAAATCTAAAAACACTGATCAAAAAATAAAGGGAACACTCAAATAACTCATCCTAGATCTGAATGAATGAGATATTTTCATTGAATACTTTGTTCTGCAAAAAGCTGAATGTTCTCACTACAAAATCACACAAATTCAATCAATGGAAATCAAATATGTTAACCAAGGGAGCCCTGGATTTGGAGTTCCACACAAATAAAAGTGTAAAAACCCTCCAGTCTGATCCAGCCATGATGTAATGTCCTTAGAATAGGTCAGACTGAGGCTCAGCATTGTGTGTGGCCTCCACCTGCCTCTATGACCCTCCTACAACACCTGATGAGGAGCAGGATGGTTTCATGAGGGATCTCCTCCCAGAGCTGGACTAAAGCATCCCCCAAATCCTGGACAGTCAACCATCCATCCATTTTTTGGTGGATGGATGGAGACTTGTGCTGAACTACTCCAACCACATGAGGTCTATCATTGTTCTGCATTAGCAGGAACCATGGAGCCACCTGCACCAGCAGATGAGGATCTCATCTGGGTGGGGAGTGGGGACTACCCCCAGGCTGAGGCTCAGGCAGTAGATGTAGCTGAGGACCTCACAGTTCTCATCAGTGCTGTTCCTCAGCAGCCTTGGGGGAAGCCATCTGGTCCAGAGGCTTTCCTCTGTTTCAGTCAGTTCAGCTGGCCTCTCATCTGCCAGCTGAGACCTCACCGGTGTGAGGTCTCTGGTGGCCTGGGGTTTGGAGACGTGTGGATAGGTGTGGAGAGGGAGGGGGCCAGTGTTAGAGGAGTCAAATTGGGTGAAAAATCTATTTAACTCATGTGCAAACTTGGTGTCACTGTCTGCAGCCCTGCTTGTGGTCTTCTGCCCAAAGCCGAAGATTTTCTTGAGATCCCTCCACACATCTCTGACATTGTTCTGTGCCAGTTGTTCCTCCATCTTCCTCCCATAGTCCTATAATTAATTGCCACCCTAATCCTCCATTGGAGCTCTTGCTGAACTCTATGCTGCTCTTCTCCATCCCCTGAGTTAAAAGCCCTTTTCTTTCTGATTCAGGAGCCGCACAGTGCTCTCTACACAGAAGGTCATGTAGTCAGGGATACATTCAGTCAGGCTGTTCATGTCATCACCATGAGACTTTGGAACATGCTCCAGTCTCCAGTTTGGTTAGAGACAAACTGCAGTTTTCTCCGGTCGCTAGGGTGTTATAGTTTACAGACAGGACACAGACTTTAGAAACTTTATCCACTACAGTCATCTGATAGCTCTTAACTTTTACTAAAATACTTAACTTGGGAAAATAACTATTACTCTACTTTTGGATTATCTGGGGTTTAATTTGAATAATCAGAATTTCCTAAACTATCATGCTCTCATTTACATAAAGTGACTCTGAAGGCTGGGACAGAAGAATGTGTTTACAAACCTGATAACGTGTGACATGTCAGTGGCTGAACATGTGTTAGAGCTGTTAATGTTGCCACCTACAATTACATGTGTTCAGCAATTTTTACAGCAACATACTGTCATTTAAGTAAAAAAAATGTTGGGAATGTTTACCGTCTGGTACTGTCTGCACGAATTGGAACATAAATCACTTCACACTGCTAAGTCACAAAATTGCTACCTTCAAAATACAAACTGTCCAAAGCTATAATCTTATCTCTATGTCATGCTGACCAGAACTTATCTTTATGCAGACAAGTCATATATAGATACTTACATATATATTTTCTTTGTTTTTATGTACGCTGTTTAAGTTCACAAGTTTGTCAAATGTCAAAGGGGTGTGAATAATTATTCAATTTTTAATTTGAATAGCACTTTTTCATTTAGACACATTCCTTGTTTGTTTTTTTAGATAGAAGTGAGACCATCTTACCTTTTTCTTTCACTGCAGTGTAAAGTTAGCTTCAGTGCATGTGTGTGATATGAATTGTTTTCCACAGGAATATCTGAAGCACTTCTATGGGTACCAGCCCAAGACAGAAAGACAAAAAAGGGCTGAAGACTTAAATAAGGATCCAAACTGGACGAGAGGACTCTGTGAGAAGGTGAAGAAAATGCAACGATTTTTTGGCTTGCCTCCCGATGGGAAACTCAATAAAGAGACTCTCTCCATAATGAAGAAGCCACGCTGTGGACTGTCAGATGTAGAGCCCTATGGAAGCACGTTTCGTTGGAGGAATGTGACAATTAGTTACAGGTGAGACAAGACCTTAGAAACGACTGATTATCCAGTATATTTTTCTGAGATGTGTTACAGCGGTTAATGCAAGTGGTTTACGTTTATTTTAACACCCAAACAAGAGGTTAAAAGAGATTTATCTTTGTGTAAAAGCAACACTGCTTTCCACTCTCAACACAGTCTGCAAGGTTTAATGAGATGTATCTTAAGCCAAGCATCCACTGATCTATTTGGTTGGATAACGGCCATCTTAAAGTGTTGGCTTCTAACCCAAAAGAAGTATCAAACTAAGCCCTGACAGCCCAGGGTGCAGACCAGGGAGCAAAGTCATAATTTAACACACCTCTCTGCAGCTTCTCTACTGTTACTCACCCTCGAGCTAACGGTGTACGTTCCTATCCTCAACTATGGTAATGAAATCTGGATAATGACTGAAAGAATGAATCAAGAAGAAATGTTTACTGAAAAACTATTTGGGGTTTTGGGAAAATAACTATTACTGTACTTTTGGATAATTTAGGGTTTAATTTGAATAATTAGAATTTCCTAAACTATGGTGTTCTTATTTTCATGAAGTGATCCTGAAGCCTGGGACAGAAGGATGTGTCTGAAATCTGGATCATGACTGAAAGAACGAGACACTGGATCCAAGAGGACAAAATAAGCTTCCTCTGCAGGGTGGCTGGGCTCTTCCTTAGAGAGAGGGTGAAAAGCTCTATGATTTGGGAGGGACTCGGAGTACAGCTGCTTCTCCTCCAAATTAAAAGAAGTCAGCTCAGGTGGCTCGGACATCTCTTTCAGATGCCCTTTGAACCTTTCTCTCTTAAGGGTTCAAGACATGTCCCACTTGGAGGAGGACCAGGGGGTGACCAGGACAAACTGGAGGGACTATGTCTATCAGCTGGCCTGGGAGCACCTCGGGCCTCCCTGAGCAGGGCTGGAAGAGGAGTCTGTATAGAGCAAAGACTGGGAGTCTCTGCTAAGACTCTTATAGAGTCTTATTGATACTCTTATGGAGTCTTATAGACCCTGGGAGTCTCTGCTAAGACTCTTATAGAGTCTTATTGATACTCTTATGGAAACTTATAGACTCTGGGAGTCTCTGCTAAGACTCTTATAGAGTCTCTGGGAGACTCTGGGAGTCTCTGCTGCCCGTGACCCGTACCTGGATGAAGGGGAAGACGACGTGACAAGACCCCTGGTTTCCATCATCCAAACTATAAAGCAATTAAACCTCCTCTGCTGTTAACCTTGTACTGTCCACCAGGTCCTTTAGAATTTTTCAGAGTACCTATTTGATTTGGTGTTGAACAGTGAAAGGGTCATCATAGTGGTGGATTTTAACATCCATGCTGACATTGAAGGTGATAGCTTCGGTGCGGCTTTTAATACTATCTTAGACAGCAGCGTGGAGGAATCGTTGAAAAACGGCCTAAGTGACTAGAAAAACTAAGCATCAAACTGGAAAAGCATGCAAATTCTCTGGCCCATCAGAACTGTATGGTTACATGGGACATCTTCAAACAGAGCACATCTGGAAGATCAATAGCTGCCAATTTGTCGGAAAACCATAACGCTACTGTTGAGAAAAACAGATTTTATCTTTTTAAAGTGAGATTGCTGCATACACTTGGATTGACTTTCCGTGGACACAGGGAGTCTATCGATTCAGATTCTCGTGGGAATTATCTTGAGGTTTGCAAATTCTTTGTCGAAATATGATTCCGATTTTCAAAGTATGAAGTCTAATTATTTCAATGCTACAAGTCCAGATTTTTAGAAAGAAATAATTGAGATATGCGCAAATTTGGTTCATGCGGAAATTGTAGAGAAAGTGCAGGACACAGGTTTTTTTTGCTGTTAATCGCAGATGAGGCCAGGTCATCCAAAACTGAGCAGCTGACAGTCTGTTTAAGATATAAGGAGCAGCTTCAAATCAAGGAGCGTTTTTTGGGTTTTATTGATTGTTCCACATCTCGATATGCAGCTGGGATCGTGGATGCAGCTGGGATCGTGGATGGCGCCTCTGTAATGTCTAGCAGAGTGTCTGGAGCGCAGCAGCGCATTAAAGAGATGCATCCATACGCATCATACCTACACTGCTTGGCTCACAAACTGAATCTCGTGCTTGTGGACTGCTGAACCGTGAACCTTTTTCTTGATAACGACTTTGGGCAACAGAGAATAAAATGATGTAAATACTGTCCAATGTCCCAGAGTGAGACCGCTGGATTCCAGCAGCACCTGTATTTCCCAGTGCTGGATGCCATAATTTGTGAACTGGACAGACGATACACGGGAGAAGCTGTTGAACTCGCACAGGCCTGTGCAGCAGTGTTAAGATGCGACAAAAGTGGAATTGAACCTCTCGTACAAAAGTATGCACAGCCTCTGAAAATCAACAACAACCTTGTTGGGGCAGAGATGGACCTTGTTAAAGACTCTATTAACGTCATATGTTTGATCTGTGTCACGTGAAAATATTCAAAAAACAGTGACAAGGGCGGTTTACCCAAATCTATACAAGCAAACAGAGCAGGTAATTTATCCCTGCTTCCATCAGACATTACAGTGTGGCAAGTGGCACTATAACTGCAATATCTAATGTGCAATCTCTGTTTAATACCTTGTGCAATAACCATATATATAAATACCTGTTTTTATAAATACCTATTTAATACTGTGTGCAAGGTTAAGGGTCTTGTTAAGAGACTCACAGTGGCAGTTTGTGGGTGTGGGGCTCGAGCTCAGAACCTCAGGATTCCAAGCTCTATGCCCTAACCACTAGGTTGCCACTTTCGACCATTGAGCCAATGTGACAAGATAATTCCTCCACTGTGACATCAACAAAGTCTATCTAATCTAAACTTAAAGGACAGGGACCACTTTAAGTCTTTATGTCTTTATGTCTATATGTTACCTTACCGCAGGTCTTCTCCTATTCAATATCTGCGTTCTTCCAGTACCTCAAAGCAATCTCAAGAATTAGCAAACAGCCTTGTTACTTCAGTTAGAAACAACTGATCAGGCCTGAAATCTGCAGTAATAGACTGAGACCTGATACCCAGAGATATTTAGAGACAGTTACAAACTTGGTCCTTTCTATCACCACAATACGTTTCAATGATGAAAGTCTTAACAATAAAATGCATTACTGGTTTGTTGCCATGGCATTAACCTTCAAGTACACTCAATGCTTGTGGATCAAGTTGACTTTCACCCTCAGGACCAGAAGCAAACAGAGAGAAGCATTTCTACTAACCTCAAGTCCACAAACAGAAGATTACACTGAGTTCTTTCAAATGAAACCTGGAACCCAATTTGTTCAGAGATGCTTTTGAGCTTTTTTTTTTTACTGTTTACAGAACTATCATTAATCAAAGTGTTTTACCAAGCTTTTATTGTTTTTACTGGCTTTTTTTACGCCCCTGAAATTTACCTTTTAATGCATTGTTTCCTTCACCTACATGATGTAATTTTAATTTTCTAAATGCTGAAATGCTGCTTACAAAATTAAACTTTCCTTGCCTAGAAATACAGCATTGTAATCTGTGCAGAAAAAGGTTCTTGCATAGCGTGTGAAAAAATTGCCTAATTATATTGAGTCATTGCTTTGCAATTTTCAGGCTTCAGCGACATGCAATTCCTCTTTATTAATGGCACAACATTTACTTAGACTTAGACAACTTTTATTGTCATACTGTAATCACAGAGTGCATGCAAAATGAAATTTTGTTTTGTACAGCTTGTACAAAGTTGTGAAGCAGTGATCAGATGTAAACAGTGTGGGAGAAAAAACGTGGTGCAAAAAAAAAAAAACTATTGATATGGAAGTTCAAAGCATTATATATATATATATATATATCAAAGCATTAGATATATATATATATATATATATATATATATATATATATAGCATCGAATGCTTTGAACTTACAGATATATTGTTAAATTAAGCAAAATAGTTTGTTAAAATTGAGCCATGGGAGCTGGCTCGGCGCTCATCTGCCTAGTAGTGTATTTCCTGGATGGGGCCGCCTGTGGAGCTGGTTGACACTTGCCTTTTGCATCCCTGCGTCTTTTTCTATGTCTGCTTCTGTCTCCTTGAACCCCAGTCAGCCTCAGCAGATGACACATAAGTAAAATAATTAAACAAATAAAAAGCTCTCATATTGTCTAGAATGATAAAGACAGAGAGGAGTTATTGAAGAATTGAGCTATTTGACAGAATTAAAGTGAGTTTTTGAAAGCTCCAAAATAATTAATCAAATTATCTATTTCTTTTTAGGATTACGTAGGAACAAGGTAGGTAATTTTTTTAACAATTAGGAAACGGTTAATTTGGTACGCTTTTTTTGTGTGTTTCTGTGTAAAAATGCTACAGCTAGTACATGATGACACCAACAATCGAAAATGTAAGATGTTGACAATGATCACCACATTAGCTTTAAATGCAGTGGGTTACTACAGTAACATAAGTGAGGGCACTTACTTCTGGACTTCTGGATTATTCAGGTTTCTATGTTCATTAGCTTTTTACCATGTTTATGTAAATTGCTTTAAATTGTGTGATTTTCTCTGCAGAATTGCTGGTAAAAATCTACCATTTCCAGTCCAAAAAATTCAAAAAGTAATCAAGAAAGCACTGAAGCTGTGGTCCAGTGTTTCCCTGATTAAATTTCAAAAGCGGAAACGAAGAGAAGCAGACATTGTCATCACCTTTGCCAGCGATGGTGAGCTTTGTGATAACACATCCACATAAACTAAACTGAAATAATGTGCCTGAGATGATAATGCGAGGCTCTTTTGCAGACCATGGGGATGGGGTTCCTTTTGATGGAAATGGGGGTGTCCTGGCTCATGCCTACCTCCCTGGTTCAGGCATTGGAGGGGATGTGCACTTTGATGCTGCAGAGAAATGGAGCTTGAACTCTGCTGATGCAGCAGGTAAAAGAGAAATGAATATCCTGCAGGAGATTATTCATGTATTCAACAAAACCTTAACATCATTTTACTGGTTCGGAAACTGCATGACGTGTCACCCTCCTTCAGGTGTCAGCCTACATGTCATTGCAGCTCATGAGTTTGGTCATGCTCTGGGCCTCTCGCACTCATCGGATCCAGGATCCATTATGTACCCAGCATACAACTTTTCACCTGGTCTCGAGCTTCAGCTCTCCTTTGATGATGTGAAAAACATCCAACATCTTTATGGTAAGCATTCATTCCAAGGCACAGGCTTAAATATACATCAAATACTTAGAAATGCTCCCCACGCGCCGCACAATGTCAGTCCACTACTCCCCAAGGGGATGGGTTAAATGCAGAGAATTCATTCCATTGCTCTGTAGTTGTGACAGTGCAATGACAATAAAAGCTGGGAACAAAACAACAACTCATATGCGTCAACTCTTTAGGTCACATAGTGTGACATTAAGTTTCCCATATAAGGATGCTAATAGAAAACAATAAAATTCAGTTTTTATATCGCCAATTAACAACACATTTCATCTCAAGGCACTTTACAATTCATCCAGATCATTCAGTCAGATTGTTACACACATCCAGCCTTTCACAGTCAGAGAAACAGGACTACACTGAAAAACAGGCCAAGCTCCAACATCTAAAAACAAAGGTGGCTGCAGCACAGCTGATCATTCTCTCCAGGATGAAGTCACAGCGAAACAGGAACAGACTAGATTAAGCTACAATGAGAAAAAGCAGACAGAGTCAAACATTAGAGATTCCAATTTTACTAAATTGAAATTATGCTTAAAACCATAACTTTGGCATCTCTACAATAAAGTGCATTTATTCTATGAAGATCACACAGGAAACAAGAAAGTTATCTGTTCAGGCATAAAGTATGAGGAGGAAAGTATGCAAAAAGCTCCACTCTCCCACCCCAGACAACAGGTTAGGGGACCTCCATATTGATCCTGCCTTGTTGACTCTGTATCCACTTTTATCTGCTCTAAGATCAATCAGCAGACAAAGCAACTCTCATGTTTTTAATTGTTTTTAATATTTTTTATATTTTCAATTCAACTCAGTTTATTTCAGCTCCAATTCACAACACAAATCATCTCATGGCACTTTAAGGAGACAATTCAACTAGATCATCTAGTCAGATTTAACTTTAAATTTTGTTATTTTCATAATTTCATTTACTTTATTTTGTTTGTAGTACTTTGAGTCACTCTCTATTTTAAGTTCACAATATTTAATTTATTATTATTATTGTTAATATACTTTTTGATAATCATAATTACCTCCATGTCCATGGATGAACCCGCCTCTTTCTTTTGCAGCTACTCTCAATATAGAAGGGTTAGACTCATTTTAACTAACTAAACCAAACTAAACCGGTTTGCATGTCTTAACAGAAAAAAAGGGCATGTTACTCCCTGTTTTATAGGGTTTTTATGTTTACTTCAAATGTTCTTTTTCTGTGGATTTTGTTCTTGTCCCTTTTTTTGTGTGGTTTGTAAAAGGTGTGCGCCTTGAGCTATTTGCAGCACTTTTCACTGTGGTTTTCTAAACTGGAACTTAAAAATAAGCTCAACTTAAATCAGAATTTAATTTTGATTTTGTCAGACCAGACAGAATTCATCCAGAAGATCTTTGAAAATTTGGCCTGAATATTTTTTTTTTTTTTTTTGTCTATGGAAGAAGTGAAATCTGTCTTGTTAGTGATCTTCAAAGCAACTCTTTCTTCTCTGACATTGCAGCAGCCTCCACACTGCTGATATCGGCCCATTAGCAGCATCTCTAGCTACTTTCTCATCTTATATCTAATTTTATAGAAATATACAATATAGTTGTGGACTGTTTTTTTGTTTTTCCTTTAAGCAGTTTTTTTTTGTATTCTCTTTGAAAAATAATTACCTTAAGGCATCAGGTGATCAAATGCCTTTAAAAACCTGAAGCTGATCTTTATTTCAGGTTAATTAGAGTAATATGAAGACAAACCATTAATTACACAAAACTGTTAACTTAAAATAGAGAGAATTACATTCCTCCCCACCATAAATGTGCTCAGCTGTTAGAGTTGTCGTTGCTTTTAGCGCAATAAATCATGTTGACAGAAACAACAGTAAAGACAGATGACAAAGAGGTGGTTTCTGTGCTTCCTTAATCCTGTGTTTATGTTTGCGTGTGTGAGGTGGGGAAGGTGGTGGCGGGGTGGTAATCATTATGACATCACTGACCGCTCTATGTCCAAGAGCACAACGCAACCTCTGCAGATTTCTACATTTGTAACACATTTGTAACGAGCTAACAGAACTTGCATCACTTCCTTGAGGTTTGCAGTTCAAAAGAAACTGGTTTACAGGCTCCTGTTTCTGCCTGCGTTTCTGAATGTTAGAAATATTACAACAACCTTGTTCTGGTAGAAATAGCTTAGAATTAGACAAACTTTACTGTTGTTTTGTATACTACGAGTGTATACATTGCTTACAGCTTACAGTAGTGAAATGAACATTACTATTTATAAAGTGCTGCAGTGATCAGAATGTAAACAATGTAGGAGAAAAGGAAACCAGTTTAAAAAATAATGGTGAAAAAAGACATTGATATGGAAAGGTTTCAGTGCTTTGCAGTAAATAAATATGGTGCAAAATGCAGTAGAACATTGAGTTGAGTGTGATGTAGAGTCCAGTTTAAAGTTTAACAGTTCAACAGTCTGATGGTGGTGAGGAAGAAGCTGTTGCAGAGTCTGCTTGACCTGCATTGAATGCTGTGAAGCCTCTTCCCAGAGGGCAGCAGGAAGAACAGTCCATGGTGGGGGTGTGAGGGGTCATTGATGATGTTACGAGCTCGGGACACGCAGCGCTGGGATGAAATGTCTTTATGGAGGGAAGTCGTCTCTGATAAGGCCCATCAGAGAGGGGTGTCATCTGCAGACTTCACGATGTGATTGGTGGTGAACCTGGGGATGTAGTCATGTGTCATCAGGGTGAACAGTAGGGGGTTCAGGATGCAACCCTGAGGGGAGCTACTGCAGAAACAAGATTTTTACAGTTTTTCTCATTGCACATGCCTCTTTGACATCTCTGAAGGGATCACCTCTACCGTCCTTTACTTTGTAAAAGGCAGGGACAACAATTTAGGAGAAACAGTGAGCAGCACGTGGAGAAAAAACACTTAACTTTAGAAACAGAATTGACTATTGTGTAAAAAACAAACAGAAAAAAAGGACTTCAACTTTGTTTCCACTACTGACAACGAACAAACTTATGTTTGAACATTAAGAGATATATATCAACTTAAAGATATGAAAAACAAGAGACAGGACCAGAATGTTGTTAACATGCACTTAGCTTAATAGCTAACTATCTATGTTTTCTTTAAAATAAAAGAAAAAAGAAGCAGCTTTTGGTTGTGTTATATGTTTGATATCTGCATAAAGTTTGTTATTTTCAGATGATACCTTTCCATCAATGATGTTAAAGGTTGGTTAACAATCATAACTTCATAATTCTTGTCAGGACAAACTAAAGTTTTTTATTTTTATTTTATTTAATTCACTTAAGCAGAGCATAAATCTGGTGTCATTTCCTCCTTGAAGTTAGAAGAAAATGAATAAAACAGATTATATTCATCAAAATATTTTCTATAGAATAACCCACCCTGACTGCACTCAATCAGCAGCTGATGCTCAAAGTTATGAGTTTACCAATCAAGACAATCTAGCTCAGGTGTGCTAAAGTGCAGACGTTGAGGGCTTTTAGGTGCATCCCTTCTTCAACACACCTGAACTAAAGGAAAGCCCCCTCCCCATGTGTCGCTTGTTTGTCAGGATTGTATGGTTGCAGCCTAAAAACAAGACTTAACATTTTTTTAGAATGTATCAAAACCAAGATATTCATAGGAGTCATAGTATTGCTCAGTTCTAGTCTCATAATCCACTACGTGAGGACTTTCCTTGTTTTTTCTTCGTAGATGTTGGTTTCTAAATCAGAACATTGGTACCTGACAGCTTCACTAATATTTTTCCCATTTTGTGGGAACTCATCGTTCAGAGTTCAGATTTTAGAATAATTTGTTGTTTGTATTCTTTTCTCTCCTTGCATCAGGTGTAAACTCCAAATTTTCTGCACTACTCTTGAATAGACCCCCCCCTAAAACCCCCGATAAATGTGACCCAGATCTGTCTTTTGACGCTGTCACTGAAATGCAACAGGAGTTGGTGTTTTTCAAGGACAGGTTAGTATGTTTGCTCCTTATAAAACAATTGTTTTCTGCATTAAAGATTATTTCTTTACTCAGTGGGCTTTCTGTCTTTGCAGATTCATGTGGCGCAAACATCCCAATTTTGTTGAAACAAGGATCTCTCTCATCAGCAGCCTCTGGTCAGACTCTGTACCATCTCACCTGGATGCTGTGTATGAGAACTGGGAGAAGAACTTTCTTTTTTTTTTCAAAGGTAAGACAGGATGAATGAAAGTTTTACAGCTAGGTGTTTGTAAGTTTTAAATCATCAAGGTATTTTTCTTTTAGGTGATCAGTACTGGAAACTACAGCAGTTAATTGTGCAGGAAGGGTTTCCCAGGAACATCTCAGAGCTGGGCTTTCCCTCCCGAATCAAGTCAGTGGATGCTGCTCTGCACTTCAGACGCCATCGTTACACTGTGTTCTTCACTGGCAGCGAATGCTGGAGGTATTTCACATCAGTGTCCTCTGTGTTCTAAATCATGCTGGAATGAAAGGGCAAATTATCATATATTAGATGTAGAAAATCTACATAATTGTGTTTCTCCTCAACTTTAAGGTATTTTTATAAATAGTTAATCAATTTCTTAACTGTTAAAGTGTTTGTGGATTATATATGATATTATAAAACATCACTCAGATGACAAACACGTTCAAAACAGAAAGGTGTACTAGATTTAAAACCGTGCTTATTTTTATTTCGACCAAAAAGCCTCATAGGAATACTGAGAGTAAATTATATATATATGTGTGTGTGTGTGTATATATATAGATGGGTATATATAACTATTGCACTGGGTATTAAATTGTAATTGCACATTATATATTTCACAAGTAACTGCCGTTGTAGTGTTGCATTGCAGAGTCCGGTTTCAGCAGGGATGAATGACCTGCAATAGCACTCCTTTTAACAAACAGGGTGTAAAAGTCTTTCACTAAAAGAGCTGATCAGCTCCTCCACAGTCTTGTGCAAACGGTGGAAGGTGTTGTCCATGATGGATGTAAGCTTGGACAGCACCCTCCTCTCACCCACTTCCTCCACTGAATCCAGAGTGAAGCCTAGGACAGAAACGGCCTTTCTCACCAGTTTGTTCAGTCTCTTTCTTTCCCGCTCTGTGGGCTGATGCCACCAAAGAGTCATAGAAGGTCTTTGAACAGGGGCCTGCTCACTCCAAAGGATCTCAACCTCCTCAGGAGGTGTTAGTTTTTCTCTGTAGAAGCTTCACTTTGCACATAATTGGATCCAGGTGTTCCGCTGATGAAAAATGTGGTCATCTCTTTTTCATCGGTTTGTTGTTGCATTAGCCATTAGAAATATGACAATCTCTGTGATAGTGACTCAACCAGATGCTCTACTTCCTTTTCTGAGTTGATGAAATAAGAGCCAGATATTTTCCCGTGTGACTGCTGAAGAGCAGATTGTTTATGTTCTGTTCCGTGAGAAGAACAGCTTGAATTCAATTTTCCACTCAGAATAATCATGTTACCCACTGAAATCTAAAAGCGAGAGACGTTTGTCACCAAAGATGCTGCTGTGTGTCACATTTAGGTACAACGAACATCTAGGTGTGATGGAGGGATCATCAGTGCTGATCGAGCAGCAGTGGCCGGGAATCCCTTTCCCCGTAGATGCAGCTGCCTTCTATCAGGGTACCCATCTCTCATTGACTGATTGTGTTAGAGGTTGCCTCGGATTATTAACATTAAATCTGCACTGATTACATATGAGACATGCAGTCATTTTAACTGAACATCTTCATCTACAGAGCTTTGCCAAAAGAATTTATACAACTTCATTTTTCCACATTTAGATGCTATGACATTCAAAGACATCAGGATATTTGGTTGGGATTTTTGTCACACATTCAGACTAATGAGAAGATAATCATCCATTGGATAATAATAATAGTGCATGTATTTGTTACTTCAAGGCTGGACTATTATAATTCTTTACTATCAGGAAGTCCACAAGCTGTAGTCAAAAGCCTTCAGCTGATCCAAAATGCTGCAGCCTGAGTTCTGATGAAAATTTTAAAAAGAGATCATATCT